AATGCTCTTAATTGCAGTCATAAAGGAGGCAGTTGCAACAGAGAAAGCTCCAGCCGCGTTAGGACCTTATTCTCAGGCCATCAAAGCCAATAACCTTCTCTTGATCTCTGGTGTGCTTGGTCTTATACCGGAGGTATGTGGCATGTTGATTGTGGATGCTTGACATGTTAATAATTATTATCTGGTATTTGATTTTCATCCAATATAATGATTATACTGGTACTGCATTGCCAGACTGGTAAATCATCTCGGATAGTGTAGAGGATCAAACGGAGCAGGTAAATTGCTAATCCGTAAACTAAAGATTATATTATTATTTAATTTGGGTTATATGCTCTCATCTGGTTTTTATTAAGTACCCTTGTGCAATAATGATGGAATTGGGGGTTTAATATCCATCTATCCTTTCATTAACAGCAAAAATGATAGGTTATCTAATGAAATGGTTTTGTGGTGATTGAGTTGTATTATTGGCCAAGTGAGAAATGAGAATTTAGAGGCATATATAATGCAATTCTATGGTCCGAGGTTTTGCTAGTTCAAAATTCAAAAATCCACTTTATTAAATATTAGCACTTAGATTTATAAACTGATTATATATTTTAATATAATCAGTCTCTAAATTTAAATATCAATATTTAATAAGATAAATTTTATAATTTTAAATTAAGTTTTAATTAAATAAAACGATATACTTTAAGGTTAGTACTCAAATTTATTTTAAAAAGTTAAGACTGATATGTACTTTTTTTAAAAATTAATATATTTATAAGTATCAAGTTAAGTAGTAAATATAAGAATCAGAATTGTTTATCTTATCTGTTTAATCTAGTTATTTAATTGACATGTCAACAATATTTATATAGTTAAAATTTTATCCATATTTATTATATTTTATATCTATATAATGATAATTTTTAAAAATAAAAATAATAAAATACAAAAATAAACTTTGAGCAAAAAAAAATTGCATATGCAATAATATTAATAATTCAAGTAAATAACAAATTTAACCTAAACATACAATACACACAATAATAATAATTAATACAATGCCTCTTTTTTACTTAAATCAAGTACATAAATATATACTCATAAATTACATTATACTTATTATATTAAACATCAAGCATAAATCTTTAAATATTTAAGTAAATACTAAATTAAAAAATTATTTCTAAAAATTTTTAAATTATATACCAAATATAATTCATCCCTAACTTATAGGAAAATACTCACCCTTAAATAGTGGGTTCCAATTTCCAGTCTTCCAAGTTTCAATTTCAAATATTAGGTGAGACAAGAGTACCAGACAGGACAACATGATTTTATTGAACGCAAAGCAGCACGGTAAGAAGTATAAGCTTATTTGAATATTCAAATTTCAAAGACTTTCATAACTATAAAGCTTGGTCAAATGATCCCCACTCTTTGGAATGGTGGTTAAGATTATTGGTCAGTGAAGATTATCTGGTGAGTTATATCTTCAAATCTCATGATATCTCTGTTTTTTAGTTCCAACATCCTAAAAATATGTATACTAATTGTTCTCGTTCAAGGAAAATAAAGCTTGGTGAAATAAATTTTTACTAGCTTCTAGATTTTACACTAATGTTTACTGTTTAAACTTTGATAAATTCTAGAGTATCAATTTCTTAAGATTATCTTTTAACGGACTTTGTTTCTTTTTTTGCAAAAAAAATTATTTAAAGAATGTTTTTACAAAAGTTTCAGCTAAAAAATGAAAATAAAAAATCAAAACGTCTTGACATTAAAAGTGTTAGGATGTTCAATAATAACTATATAATAAATTTAATAGAATTAGAGTTCATATCATACGTTACATAACATATCATATAACTATTATTAGATGTTTTAATTTTTCTTTTTTCCCAAAAAAAATGTCACCTGGTCCTCTCCTTCCCTCTCTTGGCTCTAGTTGAACAGAGGAATAGGATGGTAATTATAACTTAAAGATTCGTCTGAAATGCAGTATGAGATAAGATTGGATTAGATAAAAATAATAGAATTAGACTAAATAGTATTAAATTACATAATATTTAATATTATATCAATAAAATTGAATATAAATATATATTTATAAATAAAAATATACATGTAATTTAAATTAATAATATTTTATTAAAATTTTTAAATTTCAATTTTATTTTTTTATAAATAGTAAAAGTCAACTAAATTAGTTTAAAATAATTCAAACAATAATTTAATTTATCAACCAAATTAATTTTCATTAATTAACCAAACAAAATCATTTCTATAGCCTCCCGCATTGGATTTATCAATGAATTTTTTTTTTTTTAAAACCCAACAGAAACCCAAAAGCCAGCCTCATTCATTTTTGAGTCTAACTTGATCCTGTTTATCTTCTTCAGAAAGAGAATTGCAACAAATTATCACTTTCTCTTTTGTTTTCTCAATAATCAAACAACCAAAAGTTCATATTCATTTTCAATCCAACCAAAATTTTGATTAAAAATTCCTCTAAATTCTAAAGAAGAAACCAATCGTTGGGTTCCCTAGAAATTCAAAGAAAATTAATGTGTAAAAAAAAAAAAAAGAGTGATATTCCATAAAATTAATGGGAGAAAGATTCCTGAAAAAAAAAAAAGGTAGAAAGAAATTTCAAATTGAATGATCTAAATACATCAATGGTGACTGTTGAAAACTATGCCCACCACATCAACGAAGATGTTGGCATTTAAAAAATGATCATTTGTGAAAATTTCAAATGGTTTGCCTACATCAATGGTAGCCAATCAATGAAGTTATTTCCTTCTCCGATGAAATCTCATTTTAGATCTGGGTTTCCAGCAACTCTCTGATGCTAACCACAAAATCCAGATGGAATTCAACTATCTTTTGACATCCGTTTTTCAATTCTTGACAAGGATTTCATCTTTAGCAGGGGATTTGAGAAGGTCGATGTCTTGCACAGACGAACTACCTCATCGGAATCAAAAGAGAGAAAATCGAAGGGAGAGAATGAATTTTGGGAGAAGACAACAAGGAGTAGAAAAGGAAAAGACAATCTTATCTGGCTTAATCCCATATTCCCATGGCCATGATCGATATTTTTTATTGAAGGATGATGGGATTGGATAAAACATGGGATACTATGTATCCCATCCTTTGAGCATCCCAAACGTGGGATACAATAGGACAAGACAAAATTTATGTCCTATCCCATGTTTTATCAACCCTCCAAACGTGCTCTAAAAGACTTTAACTTTTGTCTGACCTTTAACATATCGTTGTGTTGCAGTATCTGTCTGAGGCCCTCCTAAAGGACACGGCAGGAGTGAAAACCCCAGATACCCACTTTAGTTATTGGGATTGAAATTTTCTATGATTAATTGCAATAAATGGACTCTGTAGCTCTGCAATATCTGCAGATGAATACAATATAAGTTCCCCATTCACTAACTTGTGAAGATACATGGTAAATGCTCTGGCTTTCTGTTTCTGGGTTCTAAACTTGTGAAGATACATGGCAATGCCTTTCATTTCAACCCTCTCTCGCCAAATCTCATTCTAGTTTTTACTAAAAGCTTTTGTTTTCTGTGCAAAAGTGTAATCCGTGTTCATGTTTATCAGCTTAGAAGCTTTGGTTTTTGTTTTCTTGTAGGAATTGAGAGTTTTGTTGAGCAAGAGCATTAAAAGCAGAAAAATTAAACCTGAAGGAAGGTCTATCTTTATTTGGAAGTCACATGCACTACACATACTGATAAATGAACTACCTTTATTTCTTTTCATTTTCGTTCAGATGTGTTGTAACATAGAAAATGGTAAACTAATATATGAGTCCTAACTTTCATTCATGGAAACTCGGGGTTTATGTTGGATGAATCTTAAGGCTTGAAACTATATAGGAAAGGACATGGAGGAGTAGGGACCAAGAGAGCACCTTCAAGCATCATCGTAACCGTTCTCATTTTAGGCCTTTGTGACGGCTCATCTTGCAAACACCACATTGCCACCTTCACCAGCATCTCCACCCTCCCCATATCATTTCTTGCTTCTTCATCATTTTCCACCAATTTCCCCAAATTCGCTTCACTGTAGCATTCATATGCCCATTCTGTCAGGATCACTGCTTCTTCCAACTCAAACCTGACACATCTGCTGCAACAGAGGATCTCCAACAACATTACTCCAAAGCTATACACATCTACCTTCACCGTGATAGGAGTGCTCCTGAACCACTCTGGCGCAACATACCCTTTAGTCCCTCTGATGCCCGTCAGGGTATGGCTCTTGCTGTTAATCAAAAGTTTGGCCAATCCAAAATCGGAGATTTTTGCTGTAAAAGAGTCATCTAGGAGAATATTCTGAGGCTTTATGTCGCAGTGAATGATCTGAGTTCTGCATTCTTCATGCAGATATGTTAGTCCTCTTGCAATTTCGGATGCAATCTGCAGTCTTTGTTGCCAACTGGGCCTCAGAACTCCGAACAAGAAGCTCGCCAGAGATCCATTCTGCATCAACTCATACACAAGGAGCCGGTGCTCAGCCTCATCACAGTATCCAAGCAATCTAACCAAATTCCGGTGCTGAGTTTGTCCAATCACATTCAATTCTGTCTTGAACTCTTTTTCCCCTTCTTGAACAACTTTGTCTAGTTTCTTCACAGCAACAAAATTCCTAGACAATTCTCCTTTATAAACAGTTCCAAAAGAGCCCTTTCCCAGTTCTTCCTTGAATCCTTTTGTGGCATCTTCAAGTTCTTTGTATGTGAAGGAACGCAGATTTGTCTCAATCTC